CGCTAAGGCTAGTATGTGTTATGTTGACTCAAGCATGAGTATGACTAGTCTCAAGTCATTTGGTGTTGGACACTAGGACAAACACATAGGTGCTCGAAAGAGTAATCGAGTACACTGAACAACGATCAAAAGAGAGTTCGAACATACATGTCATGTAAGAACTCAAAAGTTGCAATATGCAAAGTAGTCCTTTGACCTGAGGCATCATAGATGTCTAATGGTTAGGTTCTTGATCTTTGATCATGTCAACGGCATTCCATCGGAGTGTCCACGGCATTGTTGGGGTCAAGCTATCTAGTCATGTAGGCATATGAATGCACAACAAGGGATCTCTAACCTTCCATGGTGGAAGGAGAATACTCTAAGATATGATTCTAAAGTCTTTGGCCAAAGCATATGAATATGACTTAGGAAGTTTGTTCCAAATCATATTCAAGGGAATCATATAGATAAGTATCACATTGGATAGTAGACATGAAACAAACTATCACTCAAACAATGTGATTAAGAGTATTGTATTAGAGAAGGACCGTATTGCATTGTAGTTGTAACTGGATAGGTTCTCCAACCACTTCTACTTAGCTTGGGTAACCATGACATACTGCTAGGTGTCACTCATGGTTTATGGAATCCCTAAATGATTAGCAAACACTAATCATTAAGGGAGAATTGAAATGTGGTTTCAATTCACAATCGATCGTTAAGAGTAACAATCGCCCACTACCTCGCTAATTGGAACCTAATGGATCGTACATCGAGTAAGGATGTATGTGAGGAAATTAAATGAAATGGATAAGCAATTAAATGGTTTAATTGATGAATGGTCAAGATTAATTAATTAGTTAATTAATTTTACGAAAGGTTCGTATTGGGCTTTTAAGTTTGTTTTGGGCTTCGGGTCTCAAAAGCGTTTTGGTCCACAAGGCCCATTATTTTTAAGTTGTATGACAACTAAAACAAAATGGGCAATTAGCCCAATAACATTAATATGGCCGGCCATTAGGGTGAATGGGCAAGCTTGGATTAATTACAAGTTTGCCACTCACTTGAAATGAAGTATAAAAGGAACTTTATAGCTTTATTTCTCATTAGGGTTTTTTCTTAAAGAAATTGGGTGAAACACTTTCTCTCATTTTTCTCTAAAGAGGCCGGCCACTTAGGGGAGGGACATCTAGCAATCTCTTCTTCCCTAAGTCATCCATATTATCTTCACAAGATACATCCTTGGTGTGGAGAGTTAGAGACATCAAATTTTTGGTGTTTTGGAGAACAAATCCTAAAATCCTCAAAGAAGCAAAGGAGCACTAAAAGGAGGAAAATCACAAGGAATATCCAATGAGCTTGGAGGTGACTTGAAGGCCCTCCACTTGGGTGAATCCCTTGTGTAAACAAGGATGAGCTTCAAGGGTAAAGAAACTCTAAATCTTTACTTCTCTTTAATGTTGTTAAAGAGTTTATTGGTTCACCATATACTAGGCTTTGAAAGTCATGGGTTTTATGAATTGTTTTTTAATGCATGCCTACTTTAAAGTGTTAATAGTTTGCATATGTATTCAAATGTTCTTACTTGTTCTTAGCTAGGACAAAATTTTTCCTTCACTTTTATGGATAACATATAGATATCCATTGTCTAGGCCTACTACTTAGCCATTTATGAAATGACTACAGAAGAGGTATCATCACTGATGACCAAGCTGATTAGCTCTAGTGCAAGTGGGAGATTGTTGGAAATGTGCCCTAAAACCAATCATATGATGATACTTTACGGACATTTCACATGTTAAACTAATCTAGTTTAATATCAAGGGCAAAGATTATTGTTTGAGCCGTCTCATATAAATGTTATACGCTTAAACGATAAGTCCAAGGAATATGTGATTGGGAGAATGCGATCTAAAGAAGTTAGATTCATGAGACCATTCTTTCGTAGACATATCCTAAACGTTCCTGATCATAGGATTGCCAATTGGGCATTGACAGTCCGTTAAGATCAGTACGTGCTGTGTCTTCTCTCAGGGAGAGTGACTAGTCTCGAGTCATTGGTGTGTGTGACATCAAGACAAGTACGTAGGTGCTCAATAGAGAATGAGTTCACTGAACACGATCAACAAAGAGTTCTCATATTCATGTCACATGAGAACTCATAGTTGGGATAATGCAAAGTAGTCCTTTAACCTGAGGCATCATAGTTGTCTTGTGGTTAGGTACTTGATCTTTGATTATGTCAAAGTCACCCCATCCGCGGGTGTCCACGGCATCGTCGGGGTTAAGCCGCTTAGCCATGGAGGCAAGTGAATGCGCAACAAGGGATTACTAACCTTCAAACCGTTTGGGGGAGAATACTCTATGATATGATTAAGAATCTCTGGCCAGAGTATGAATGAGATTTAGGAAGTCGTTCCAAATCACATTCAAGGTAATCATATAAGCACACGAATCACATTGGATAGTAGACATGAATAAACTATCAAACCAAACAATGTGGTCAAGAGTATTGTATTAGAGAAATACCGTATTGCATTTGTAATCCTAAACTGAATAGGTTCTCCACCTCTTCTGATTAGCTTGGGTAACCATGATATGCTGCTAGGTGTCACTCATGGTTTGTGGAAGCCCTAAACGTGTATAATCACTAAAGGAGAGAATTGAAAGTAAGTTTCAATTCACAATCGATTTGAAATGGTTTTTAATCGCCCACTGCCTCGCTAAAAGGAACCTAATGGATCGTACACCGTGTAAGGTGGAGATTGAAGAAACAATGGAGATGAGTAAGAATAATTAAATGGTTTAATTATTTATGGCAAGGATTAATTAATATGTTAATTAATCAAACGAATAAGTTCGTTAAAGACCTCGGAATAGTTTTGGACCTTAAGGCCCAATGGGCTTCAAACGTCAAGCCCATTGACTTAAGTTGTATGACAACTTAATGAATAATGATTCACAAAGGCCCAATTAGCCCAATAATACCCTAAGGCCGGCCATTTAGAGATGGAGTGAGTTTTGGACTTATTTACAAGTTTGCCACTCCAATGAATTAAGTATAAATATGACTTTATAGCCAAAATTCATTTAGGGTTTTCTTTTGGGGAAATGATGAGAACATAAGCTCTCCTTTCTCTCTAAATTGGCCGGCCTCCTTAGAGGGTTTAGCTAGCAATCCTACTACTCCAAGGTCACTCATTTCTTCTCCAATCTAACCTTGGTGAAGAGACTTAGAGGTTCTCGATTTTGGAACTTGGAGAACCATTTCATCCATCCAAATCCATAGATCTAAGTTGCAAGGAATGAAGGCCCTCTCTTTGGGTGATTAGCCTTTGCTTATGCAAAGAGGAATCTACAAAGGTATAATTTCTCAACTAACAAATGTTGTTTTAAGTTGAGTCAAGGTTCACCAATCTACTAGGCTTTGAATTTCATGGTTAATGTTTTGTTTTTAAGTGCATACAAGCATGATTCCGCCTTTTAATTGTTAATTGCATGCTATAGATGTTGCTTAAATGAACATGTTTTTCACAAAATTTCCTTCATAGCTCGCTCCTCAACAGGAATACCCAGGTCGAGGGAAAATGACCCTCTGTGTTGGAGGGCACCAGTTGATGGTTGACTTCCACATGAGTGATGAGCTCGTGTGTTTTAATATATCTAGCCTCGTGGAGCATCTTGAAAACCTTCTCATATTGCTCTTGGAGGATCTCATTCTTCATCGTTATCTTGTTGTTCTGAGCCTTCAGCTCATCAACTTTAGCCTGAAGAGCAAACTTCTTTTGTTCCTTCTTTCGTTGCTTCGCACCAGGTGCAAGAGGGGTGTCATTTTGTGTGTTGTGCTTCCTTCGCTCCCCATGTTGGAAAGGGGTGCCTGGTCAAAAGATTGTGTACGAATGGTGGAAACCAGCTTAACAAAGATGAAGAGAGTGGGAATAAGTGTCGTTCCCACAGACGACGTCAAATGTTGACGCACAAAATCAGTGGGGACTTTGGTACAACATAAAATGTTAAGTTTGTGACCTTCACTAGATTGCTCTGGTCACTAGTGTGGATAAGTATGTAAATGGATAGAGACAGGAAAGCAAACACAAGATGTACGTGGTTCACCCAGATTGGCTACGTCTACAAAGTAGAAGAGTTCTCATTAATTGTGAAGGGTTTACACAAGTACATAGGTTCAAGCTCTCATTTTGTGAGTACTAGTGAATGATTTAGTACAAATGACATTAGGAAATATTGTGAGATAATGATCTCTATTTATAGAAGAGAGTTTCTAGTTTCATTCTAACATTGACACGTGTCGTGTTGTGATTGGCTTCTGATGTTGACACGTGTTGCGCTATGATTGGCTTCTGATGTCGACACATGTCGCGCTGTGATTGGCCTCCTAGTTGGAGGGAAACTCTTATGGGTCCTTGACGGTATAACGTTAATCGGTGCTCGGTAGTTTCGAGATTGGTCAAGTATGATACAAACAAAAATCATTCACATAGTGAAGAGAATATGAAAAAAATAGTGCTACAAACATGTACTATAGTTTAACTAATTCTTCTCCAATTCAAACTACTAACAATTTGCATTCCATTTAGTCATTAACCGTTGTAGTTGAAAATAAGCAAGCTTAATTTAGAAGATATCTTCTTGTTATTTACCAATAATTGTTGTAGCCAAAACAAACAATAAATAGAAAAACCAATAACTGAGCAAAGATTTCACTACAAAAGAAACCAATCCTAAAAATTAAAGTCCTGAAGATTCATTTCATCCCCTAAATCAATTAATTCATTGCGGTTGGTTGGGACTTCTCAAGCACGTGTGTTTATTACAGATAAAAAGTTAAAATCTTCACTAGAGGGCTATTTAGTACTAAGATCTAATAGTATTCCTCTTTACTTGTAAGTAACATATCTTAGGATCGATTTATGTGAAAGAGAAATTTGAACCACATTATTATTAGCTTATTGTGAAGTTAAAGTCAAACAAAAAAAAAATAATCTAAACCCTCCGTCAAGAGCCGCAAGGTCACCCGCGACCAGAAAATCACAGTACAACCAACTATAAACACCGACACTCTAACTCCCCTCGCTTTTCAGGGAATCTTAGTGTAAATACCCCCGTCCTCATCCAACATCTCCACCCCACCCTCCTCCCAAATCTAAATCTCCACCGTCCAATCACACAGACCAAAAGTACCAAAACCCCCAAGTCCTCAATCGTCATCCCACGTCTCAATTTTTCGGATCTGAGAGAGAAAGTGAGATAGTGTTCCGACTGTTGGGGTGCTCGAATTATTTTATTCCCATTTTGCCCTCGATGGTGGAGGCACAGACATGGACGACGCGTCGTATGAGCAATCCGCGGCTGCAGGACACGACGTCCCCCGATCAGGTGGTCGACATTCCGGCCACTCCCCCCGGCGACGTCCGCAACGGGACGAGCTATGGGTTCTCCTCCGCCGCCGGATCCCTCCTCTCCCCGACAATATCGACGGCGGCGATTATTGCATCCTGGTACCTGTCGAACATCGGCGTCCTCCTCCTCAACAAGTACCTCCTCAGCTTCTACGGCTTCCGCTACCCCATCTTTCTCACAATGCTCCACATGATCTCCTGCGCCGCCTACAGCTACGTCGCCATCCACCTCCTCGAGATAGTGCCACGTCAGCACATCCTCTCCAGCCGCCAGTTTTTCAAGATCCTCGCACTCTCCGCCATCTTCTGCTTCTCCGTCGTTTGCGGCAACACCTCCCTCCGCTACCTCCCCGTCTCCTTCAACCAGGCCATCGGCGCCACCACGCCCTTTTTCACCGCCATCTTTGCGTTCGTTATCACGTGTAAAAAGGAGTCCGCCGAGGTTTACGGTGCCCTCCTCCCTGTTGTTTTGGGAATCGTGTTGGCCAGCAACAGCGAGCCGCTGTTTCATCTGTTCGGTTTTTTGGTCTGCGTGGGTTCCACCGCCGGCCGGGCGTTGAAATCGGTGGTGCAGGGGATTTTACTCACCTCGGATTCTGAGAAGCTCCACTCCATGAACTTGCTCCTCTACATGGCGCCAATGGCGGCCTGCATCCTCCTCCCCTTCACTCTCTACATCGAGGGCAATGTGGCGGCGGAGACGGTGGAGAAAGCGAGAACCGACCCCTTCATTGTCTTCTTGTTGCTGGGGAACGCCACGGTGGCCTATTTGGTTAACTTGACCAATTTCTTGGTGACCAAGCACACCAGCGCGCTCACACTGCAGGTTCTCGGCAATGCCAAGGCGGCGGTGGCGGCAGTCGTTTCGGTGTTGATATTCCGGAACCCAGTCACGGTGATGGGAATGACGGGGTTTGCGGTGACGATCATGGGGGTGGTGCTTTACAGTGAGGCAAAGAAAAGGTCCAAAATTACAACTCATTGACAGAGACGAGCATAAAGGTTGAAATTGAAACCACAAAAACCGAAAAAGAACCATTCATTTTGACTGCCACAGAAATTGGGGTACGAAATTTGTTCAACTTTTTTCTTTCTTACTCAATTGATTTTGTTTTTATTATTGTTTTTTATTTGTGGAATGAAAAGAGGAGGAAGATTTGGATCAAATGTGAAGTGGGATTGGAATGTATAGGATGGTGGCGAAAAAGAGGAAAAGTTTCTGCTTTTTTAAGCTTTAAATTGTTGGTGATAGGGAGGAATATGCAAGTATTTCTCTTTTACTTGACCCTTTTGTGTAACTTTATATGATATGCTGCATTTTGAATTGAGCACATACAAGTATTTTGATGGGAAGGGAAAATTTCTTCTCCAAATCCAAATTGTAAAACATGTTCTCTCTTCTTTTGCCCGTGTATTGATATGAAATTTTAGCTGATTTCTCTTTTGCAAGAATGTTTAGCTTATTCGTTTTGAATTCAGTGTTTCATTGATGTAACCTTATGAACTATCGGTCTAAAAGGAGCAATTCTGCACAAAATGAAGTGCTTGTGTTGCAGGACTAGAAAAACAAGAGAGTTTTCCAGGGTGTATATTAGATTATTGAGTATCATAATTAGGTGGAACTATAGGGTCTTAGCCTTGCAACCGCTGCATATTGGGTTCGAAACTCCCCCCCTCTGAATGCTGTAGTATATCAACATCTAATTAGGTGGCACTATATTTTCTAGGGTTCTGATTGTATCATCTGATGTAATAATTATGTAGAATGAAAGCATAATTTTGCTAAATTATAGCTACAATAATTGCTTTGCTGATGATATCAGAGTCACCATCAGCCTAGAAGGGTTGTGATATTATTAGTTTTCTGTCCAAAATTATGAGCTTATTAGGGACACCAATTGGAATAGGAAAACTGTTTGATCAGAAAACATCTGATTGGCCTTTTGCTTGTTTGACTTTATAGCTACTCAGGTGAAGGATTTTTTAGACTTTAGATCATCTTTCTCTCACTAAAGAAGATGTGTCAACAAGTGATCGGATTTACTGAAATCAACAAGTAGTTGAATTCATGGAAATCCAGGAACACTCTCCAGATGAGAACACGATAAAGATTTCATGTTGTTACCCACAAGTTTTGGTTAAGAAGTGAATAATTCCTATTAGGCAAGATTTTCTATGATCCTCTAGAGTATGGAATTTTTTATTGAAAACATAAGTATGAATTTTTGACATAAAGTCCGGAGTATTCTAGCCTTCGGAGCACCATAAGGGTAGTGAAGACATAACAACATAAGCATTTCAAAGCCCAAATGCTGTCTAATCAAACATGGATTTCAACCAAAAAAACAACTCCGTATTTTTCCTCTTTGAGATGTTGGTATTGGATATGCCATGCTAGGCTGCCTTATCCGTCTGTCCTAATAGCTTCCACACCGTAAACTTGGTCCTTCCAGGCTTCCATTAACTCCTCTGGGTTCATGGAATGTTCGTCCCTCTAAAAACTCCATCTGGTTGGGAATATGTTTGTGTAGATGACTGCCAATTGGCAACTTCCCATTTGCTGCAAATGGACTAGTTGCTTCATTCGGTGTCTGATAATGTGGCGTTTTCTGGAAGCAGGCAGCCTTTCAGCATCAAGGAGGTAAGAAATTAGGACAAGCAATCTATTTGCACTTGGTGTTGGTGGATCTGGTGGTTGAAACTTACTTGTTCGGTGCTGGTATATTAAGTTTATCGTTCTAGTTGAGGGTTTTTTAATTCTTTTTGCTGCTCTATAGCATGTTATAGGCTTTCATTGCTAGGCTGGTAGTTTATGCGAAATTTAATCGACAATATGTCTTGTAACCATTTGTAATGCATTCCATCGCTCATCACATGACCAAATGTCACGTTATGAAAGATAGACACGAAGGGGATATGCAACTGGGGATAGCTAAGAATCTTCTCAAATGTAGAGGTGGGTTGGATTAGTATTATGCGCCAAATGTAAAGAGATGAACATTTTGATCCAAGGAGGAGGATAAAGCTTGTGAGAGGACACTAAGGACCTGTTTGGTGGGCTAGATGAGATGCAGCCTTAAGGACAGGATTGAATTGGCATGAATTGGTTAGGCTTTGAATCCCAGTCCATTGTTTGGTACATGACTGTTTTGGACTTAAGTCCAGTTCATTGTTTGTTACATAACTGGATTGGACTTAAAAAAATTATTTTATTTTTAGATTTTCATTTATTCAATCTCACGTATAATTAATCAAAACAAATAAACAACCTTCAAATTTGATAATAAGAAAATCATACGAAGATACATCCATATAGACTATATAGCTATCCAGAAAAGTACTATTTTTGAAATGTAACCAAGTCCAAATTAAAATTCAAACCTTAACAAAGTTAAAATTCTGAAAATTCAAACCTCTGGGATAACCAAGATCGTACAATATCAAGTTCAAAGCATTTTATGCGTACATATAAAATGTAGCTAGGCAAGTTAACATTTTCTTTAAGCATAGTATTGGGATTCTTTTCTGTATGTACTACTAGAACTAACTAACAAAACATTAGCACAGCAAGCTTAAGCCTCCCGTGTGATAATATATAGGTACCAGCTAGCTGAAACTAGATGGCTTGTGCATCTTTCAGCATCCCCTCCTATGAACACAGCAGGAAGAGCAGGATTGCAGTCGAGGTTTCTCAATGCCCACTCAATTTCCCTCCCATTGGCGTATCGGTCGTGCTTGTAGAAAAGCGTTCATGTTGTGGCATATACAGCAGGAGCTCTTTGTGAAGATCACATCGGAGGAGGATTCTCTTCCCTCCTAATCTCTCTTCCCTTCCCTCCTCTCCCCTCCCCTCCCCTCCTACTTGAATCGTTACGGTTAAGCCCCTTCAACATCTTATATTGATTTTTTACATAGAGACAATAAGACAAAAAACAAAGGGTGAGAGGAGGGAGAAAAGGAGATGGGAGAGAATCCTACTCTGATCACATCAACCTTCTCTGACGCCAACTCTCTCACTCTCCATTAACAAAAACCATACGAGGCATCCAACAATTCATGAAATCCCCAGAAAATTCTAAAGCACCATCTTTTGTACCACATTGAATTGAAAAATTATAGAGCATACAAAATAAAAATCAAATATCCACCAATAATTAACAAATTTAATACCCAAACAAGCACACTTCAGGTTAACTCTGGACCAAATTTTCAGTTACAACCCTAGATTCAGAAAAATCATAGTACCCATGTTTCAAATTCGAAGAGAGGAGGGAGAAGAGAGAATTACCTTGAACAAAAAAGAGGAAATTGCATAACGATTGCGCGACGTTGTTCCCAACAGCCCATCCCCGTTGTACGACCAGATCAAAGATGAGCTCGCGGGAATATGATCGCTGAAATTAAGAAGAAGACAATGCCAAGCCGAAGAGAAATCAAAGGCCAAACCGAAGAAGATCCCACAACGAAGAACAAGAATTTGCGCATAGAGGAAGAAGAAAGATCGGGAGACGGGACTTGTAACCTGTATGTGAGGATGGGTTACATAACCCGTCCTATTTTCCCTATTTCGGACTTGTAGCCAATCCAATCCAGTGTTTGTTACAATTTTCTCATCAAATATGGGTTGGGTTACAAGTCCAATTTAATTGAAAATAACTCATCCTGGTCCACCAAACAGGGCTACAGGGTTTAGGGTTAGAGGTTAAGGGTTAGTAGTATTTTCGAAAGAGTGCCTTCATTTCTTTAAGATGCAAATTATACAAAATGTGGAGAACAATTCATACAAGAACGGGACTTGGCTGCTGAAGAATTAGCAGGGGGTGCTGCTGATTCTTTCAGCAGCCATGTTCTATTCTTCATACAATGAGATTGCAAAACTCACACTTATTAATAGCAGGAAAAAATAAGCAGTTGCTAAAAAAATAATGTTATTGAAAGAAAAAAACTACGAGACTAATCCGATGGTAAACCCTCGATGAGCTCACAAAAACATAGATATTGATCATGAGCCACCCGTATCTTGGTTGCAAGTTAAAACCTCTGGTTGCTATATCCCCAGGTGGGGCTAGGGCTAGGAGCAAATGACGATGGAAACACAGTTATGAGAAGCTTCTGCTTCGTTGATGCACAAAGCTGACCAACACCACAAATGTACCATTTTCTCCCTGGGGTTGCAAGGGTGACCACGTCATTTCCACTAATGAATGGCATGAATAGTCTTACACTTTTTATCTATTTGTACGATCAGTTGCATCATATTTTGATTATAGGTAAAACCCCCAAGTCTCATCTCTATTATAGAGATACTACAAATGATGGTATAAATAGATTGTAAGAATATCATTTGTGCACTGGCACACTGTCTAATGGAGCTGCACATTGTTGAAACCCAGTGCCATTCACTTTGCACGCATTGTTGGCTCCCTTTCGATACTTAAAAACTGCATAAGATCAAACATCACAATTTATAAATAAACGAAATGGCAGTGTATAATAATTTTTCACCAAGCCAAATAATGATTTTGATCCTTGAAATTTTTATTTTTTATTTTTTAAAAATAAGACAACTGGTGGCAAGTCACGATTATTCATTAATTCCAGAAGCTGGAAGACTCACAAGGCATTTTAATTCTTGAATTTGGGTTACTACTATAATACATGGACTCAAATCGCAACAACTGAAATTATATGGACTAAAGTTGAACATTGCTCAAATAAACTGCAAGGACCATAATCATACTTCTGCCTAATTTAATGTATCACATTAGTTTAAAGAAGAGCTTAATGTTTTTCGGTTTACAAGGTTGTCGCCAACATTGAACATCTCTCGCCGAGCCCAAGCTTGGTAGTCAAAATCAATGGTCCAACCTTGGTCGACACCGACAACAACATATTTTGTCAAAACTGTAGGGGTAAAGATTGATAGAATGGCAAGGATAACGAAGAGCTGGGAAGAGGCCATCAGGGTTTGGGTAAAGATTAAACCAAACCATTGTTCAGCGACTTCATTTATTTATTTATGAGTAAATTGTAGCAATGGTCCATTAACTTGAACTCAATTAGAGTAATGGTCCCTCAACTAAAATTTCATTATCATTGGTCCCTCAACTTATCAAAACGTGCAGCTATGGTCCCTCAACTAAAAATTCATTACCATTGGTCCCTCAACTTTAATCCAACTAGAGAAATAATCCCTCAACTTTAACCCAATTGTAGCAATGGTCCTTCCAACATAACTCGTTTTGACAAAATTTGGACGAAGTTGATGAAAAGGACCATAACTACACGTTTTGACGAGTTGAGGGACCCCAATTGTAGCAATGATCCTTCCAACATGACTCATTTTAACAAAATTTTCATGAAGTTGATGAAAATGATCGTAACTACACATTTTGATGTGTTGAGGGACCAATGATAATGGATTTTTAGTTAAGGGACTATTGTTACAATTTGATTAAGGTTGATGAACTATTGCTATAATTTACTCTTTATTTTTATTTATGTTTTTTAAGATTTATTTCATTTCAAAACAAAGTTACAAAGCGCTACATCAATTACAAAACAGCTTCTTCAAAAAGTAAATCTGAGATGAGGTCCGAAGGTTCCTTAAACCAGTTACATGACAAACTAGAAGTAGGGGAAAACCGTGCAAGGTACATGAGCAATGTCATTGGCTTGACGACTAACATGAGTAGAATAAGCTCTAGTGATTGAAGACAAAATCTCACGCGAATACTCAATAAAAAGTCCAATGTCAGACAAAAAATTGAAAGAATCATGAAACGCCGTCACAAGCTGGAGTGAGCGGCTTCATTTTGTTTGGCTTGAGCGGCTTGGGTCTATACCTAATAATATTTTCTTTTGCATTGTATCAACTTTTTTTTTTTTTTTTTGTGAAAACCAAATACTGTTGCGGGCCGGATCAGCCTGTTTGGTCCGAATGGTGCCGATCGACCCAAGTGGATACATGGCTTGCTAGGCTGTTCTTGATTGTTAAGTTGTCTTGTCTACCTTAACTTTTTGGGGTTCATAGAAGCCTGGAAGGTTTAACCTACAAAAAATTTATCTTGTAACTAGTTGTATATCTTTTTATCTCTCGTTATGTGACCAAAGTCACGTGATGAAGCTAGATAGAAGAGATATACAACCATGGATCGCTAAGATTATTCCCCACTTCAAAGGTGAGTCAAATTAGTATTACGTGCCAAAAGTGAAGATTGAACTGGATCCAAGTAGTTTATCAGAGGAAGTGTGTTTCAACTTTCGTTGGGTGCAAATTACACAAACTGTGGAGAATAATTCATACATCGTTTGTAGTATCACAAACAGATTGCAAAACTCACTTATTAATAATTGGAAAAATCACCTACTCAATAACAATGTAATTAGTAAAAAGACTAGGATACTAGTACGGGTTAACCCACGACAAATGTCGGTATTAATCGTGAGATACCCATGTCTTTATTCCAAGCTAACACTTCTAGTTATTAAAACTTGGATCCAATATATGTTTTTGAATTGATGTTCTGCTACAATTGCAGCAGAGTTTATATACATTTTATTACACACACACACATGCAATAAACAAAAGCACTGGTAGGAGCCCCTCGTAAAAGTATTGTAGAAGTAACTCCTCCTTCATCTGATGCTGTGGACAAGAAGCAACAAGTGATTTAAAACGTTCATAATAAGTGGGAAAAGACTCACCTTCCTCTTGCTGAATACCACTAATCTTTTTACGTAGGAGAATGATTCGAGAAGTTGGGAAAAACTTCTCCAAAAATGCCCTCTTCATACTCTCCCAAGATGTGACAGTTCCGGGAGCTAACTCGTACAACCAATCTTTGGCTTTATCCATTAAAGAGAATGGAAAAGCCTTCATCTTCAAAATACTTCCGTCGACGTTAACCGGAGTCATGCTTGAACACACCACTTCAAATTCTTTTAAATGCTTGTTCGGATCCTCCATGGACAGCCCATGGTATTTTGGAATGTGGTGGAGCAAACTTAACTTTAACTCGAACTCTTCGGTCTTACCTTGCGCAGCCGTGGGATATTGGATACACAAAGGTGCGGCATTATCTAATCCCGAAGCGGCGAGCTCCTTGAGTGTTCGGTTGTCCATGGCTTCTTCTTATTTTTCTTCAAATTCAGATTTGACCTCTGATCTTGAACTAGGTTCACTAGGTTCTGGATGCCTCTTCTTTCTTCTCAAAGTCTACGACTTATTCTCCTATTCTGACATAGGAAGTTTTAATTTCTCCCTTTTCAACCCTCTCACGAACAGTGTGGCAATCGATCTCAATATGCTTTGTGCGTTCGTGATACACAGGATTTGCAGTTATGTGTAAGCCGCTTGGTTGTCACAGAATAACCTTGCCGGTTGGGGATGCTCAACACGTAAATCTTCCAATAAATATCGTAGCCAACTTAATTCACAAGTAGCTGCAGCCATAGATCGATACACCGCTTCAGCAAAGGAACGAGCTATTGTAACTTGTTTCTTGCTCTTCCAAGACACCAGTGACTTTCCAAGGAAGATACAGTAACCAGTAACTGATCGACGGGTAATGGGGCAACGTGCCTAATCTGCATCATAGTAACCGATTAAATGCAATTCACTTTGGGAAGAAAACATTAAGCCTTGTCCAGGTGCTCCTTTGAGGTATCGAAGAAGTCGATACGCTGCATCGAGATGGTGTCATTGTGGATCTTGCATGAACTGACTCAATGTGTTGACAGTGTATGCTATTTCTGGTCTTGTGATGGTCAAATAAATTAATTTTCCAACCAAGCGCCTATACCTCGCAGGTTCATGTAGTGAAGTGCTACCTGTAAGGGTTAGGACCAAATCAGCCTCCATTGGGACTTTCATGGGTTTGGCTCCAAGAAGGCCAGCCTCCTCCAATATGCCCAATGTATATTTTCGTTGGCAGATTGTGACTCCAGATTTTGATCGTGCAACCTCAACTCTAAGGAAATATTTCAAAGGTCCAAGATCTTTAATTCGAAATTGGATGCTGAGGAAGGCCTTTAGGTTCTTGATTTCTGCCTCATTGTTACCTGTAATCACCATGTCATCAACATATAAAATACAATGGTAAGTGAAGTACCCTTGACTTGAGTGAACAGAGAATAATCTGCCTTGGATTGGTAGAAACCGATGGTACATATTGCTTTCGAGAATGCTCGAAACCAACTTCTAGACGCCTGTTTAAGACCATAAAAAGATTTGTGGAGTCGACAAACGACATTCTCCCCTTGTCGATGACAACTCGGAGGGGGCAATATGTAGACGGCCTCATAAAGTTCGCCATGAAGGAAGGCGCTTTGAACGTCCATTTGATGTAATGGCCAATTGCAGACAGCAACCACGGTCAAGAGGCAACACACAGTAATGAGTTTGGCTACCGGTGCGAAGGTCTCTTTGTAGTCGATACCTTCAGGTTGAGTGAAACCTTTGGCAACGAGACGTGCGTTGTAACATTCAAGGGTGCCATCAGATTGGTACTTGAGTTTGTAAACTGATGCTAAATATATAAGCACACAAATTAAACCCTCTTTTATCAATTGTAGTAAAGTATGTAAGTAGGGATCGTTCTAGGCCGGGGATTAGGA